CAAGAGATAACATGTCGGATCCACTTACAAAAGGCCTATCTAGAGAGGCAGTTGAAAGATCATCGAAGGGAATGGGGCTAAGGCCTAGGACAAGTCATCATGGCGGTAACTCTACCTAGTAGACTGGAGATCCCAAGAGCTAGGTTCAAAGAGATCAAACAAAGTTATGAATGACGGTTCAACATTGTCAAATAACTCAACCCATTCTCGTGATGAAGACAATGTTCAAAAATCAAGGTAAAGCATTAAGGCTTTTTGATGAGTCAATAAAGCTTAAAGCTTTTTAATGATTTTCTAAGTCTGACAGGATATGACCAGATAGTGTGTTTATAGGATTACACGTTTAGAAATCACCTATGTGAGTGTGAAGTGTAAGCCGCTTTAAGGGGAATGAAAGTAAAGGCCCATTCTCTAAGCACTCATGAAACCAGACGGTGTTCATGGCTGAAACGAACACAACCGTGAGAACCAAAGACGGTTAAGGATTGATTGTGTGACTTATGGTTGTCTAGGTATACACCAAAGCTCGACGGTTCAAAGATATCAAATCTACCGATTGACCGAGTATATCCGACATAAGTTCACTACGGAAAGTTTAAAGGGAAACCTACTTATCCAGATGCGATTAATCCTTACTTGCGAATCACACAGTACATATGTCCATTCCCCATACATGTGGGGGATTGTTGCATTTTTATTAAGGGGTGTGAATGGGAAATGGAAGAGGCACCTTTTAGATTGCACCTCTCCATATCACCCTTCCTTTGTCTATAAATTTAGAGGCTTGGCTTCATTTTTTAGACATGAAAAATCTGAAATCTTTTCCCCTCTTTTCTACATTGTTGCATTATTTTCTAAATAAACATAAGTGTCAAGTGTGATTTTCTCCGTTTGTTGAGTTCGCTGAAGTTCTGTGATTTGAAGTGCCGCTATCACAGAATAGTTATTCCGTTCTACCCTGGGAGGAATTAATCCGTATACCTTGGGCAACAGTGAGGGGATTAAATTCCTTAAGGACACAAAGTGCATTCAGTGGGCTCGGAATTATTTTACGTTTGTTTATTGAACTAACGTTTGTTTACTTTTCTGATTTTGAACACAATAATACCAACAAGCAGGAGGAAGATATTTACAAGATAATCAAGTTGGAGCTGGTAGCCATTTATGGTTGTGTTCTGAATATATGCAGAGTTGTGAGGTAAAGAAGATGGGGAGTGATGATTATAATTATAAGAGAAAATGATAATTTATGGATCAACCACACCACATGCAAATTCCAGATTTTCAACATTTCCATACACCTAAAACATAATGAGTAGTACTGCCAATATTTGGACCAAACCCTACTTTTGTAAGGAAATGTCTTCTGATCTCTGCACTTAATTAGTAGTAGTCCATGCCTTAGCTTTCTCTTCAAAGCCAACCCCATATATCACATAGAACTACCAATTCAAGTTACATTAAATTAGTGCCAATCATCAATAAATGTGGTAGTTATTTATTTTCTATTCCATTGTTTCTCTTGCGAGTGTATAGCACGTTCTAAAGACTTGCTTATTCATGCAATGTTTTTGCTTCCCAAATTAGAACAAACTCTCCTTCTTGATAACATGGTAAAAATTTACCCGCATTCGATATTTACACCAAATAAATTTCTAAATGACACTAGTTTTTTTATTTAACTATAATAATTACATAGTACTTAACCATAGTTAGCTATCATTTATTTTGCACATGATCTTAAATGATAATATAAAATTATACTTTATAACCTTGCTATCCCCTTATTGTTCTAGCAATACCATCACCACAGACGAAAGTAGTCCAGACTGAATTTAGTTCCTTACTAATTACTCTTCTATGAATGTAGACTCATAGAGATATGCCACAACATTTTACGATACCAAGGTTAGGAAGTTTGAAATACATGTTGGGCGTTTGTTTTCGAAACACATGGTTACAACTGATTCGAGGTACGTAATTCTTCACAAAAATTCATACTTAACCTAGATAAACCACTTTAAACCTTGCTGTTGTATCTCCCAAAGTTTGCTGACAAATTATCAAGCTCGGATAATGGAGTGCAGAGGCGGAGCTAGGATTTGAACCTTATGGGTTCGGAGTTGTAATTCTTTTAATTAAGTTACGGGGCTTTAAATTAATGATTTGTATATATTTATTGGATTCTTAACACAAATACCGGTTTGAACAAAAAATACTGGGTTCGGCCGAACCCGCAATCAACACTGTGGCTCCGCCCCTGATGGGTATGTCATATTTTCTTTTGGATTTTACTTGCATACTCTGATAATATAGATAACTTTTACACTATCAATTAAGTTATTTTATTATAAATTTATGTTTTATCTTTTTGATAACTAGCTAGTTTTGCTTATTATGTTAGGTTATTTATAATTATTTTTAAGTATTTTAATAGTGTAAAATTTTTACTATATAAAGGTTTAACTTCTTTCCTTTTCCATTTGGAAAAAGAAGAAGAAGAAGTTTCACGAGTATGTTTTCTTTCTTAAAGCAAACGGAGTACCAATACTCAATGTCTAATTATGACGCATGACTTTAATTGTCACTAGGAATTGAGTATATATAGAAGCAAACTCATAATGAAGTTCCATTCAATTCCAAAACTTAAAGCTTTGCTGCCAAACAAAGTGAGAACTATTAAAGTAAAGTAAAAGAAGAAAAAAAAAAAGTTAAACAAAGAGTTGAAAGAACTCTATAGGACAATGACAAGTAGTTTCAATTCAAAGAGATAAAAGAAAGTCAAAAAGTTTTATAAGAAGCTTCAAGCACACATTGAAAGACGAAAATCTAAAAATTCATTCTTTCCAAATTAAAAAAAAAATACAAAATCAAACAAAGATTTCTAAGACTACCCGCCATTCACGGCAGACAAAAGTCCATGGAAAATATGTAGTAGTTTTTGACTTTCTTTATCTTTAAATTTTGAGTTTTTATACATTAAGAACATAAATCAATTTTTACCCTAAGAGAACTACATATAACTGTTCATTGAACAGTGTTCATAACATCTAAAACTAGTAAATTGAAAAATACGATAAATTATTTGATATATTAATTTAAAATATATTGCTATACAGATCGCGCAAAAATTCTTTACAGCAACAATATATATAAATTAAATCCTTTTGTTTTAGGTTTTGTTTTTATATCATTTAATAGCAGCATATGACTCTCGCCATCAGCTCCAATGGCTGCATGCCCCTATGCAACTTTCACTTACAAATATTTGATGTGTGGACAAATCAACCCATTGTATAAAAGGTTGTCTGGGGCTTGTTGGGGGGGGGGGGGGTCCCTTCATTAAATAGTGCCCATCCACCAAACTACGCTAGATTGGCAGTGATGAATTTAATTTGTTTTCACTATATCCATGCCTTATCCAGAAGAAAGTTGAAGAACCATATTTTTATGAAATTAGAAGGGAAAAAAAGAGAAATTAATTAATTAGTTTTGTGTGGTGTTGTGTATATATTTAGAATTACTTTTTGTTTGCAAAGGACGAAACGTCAATAAGTGTTAGTATATAAGGTCATTTGGTAGGTATATATGGTAGATATCCGTATTTTAATTCTCCACCAAACGTGCTAAGAAAATTATCTTGCATTAATCTAGTCTTGAATTTGACTACCAAACTATCCCTTAGATTATTATTTTCAATTAGCTGATAAAAGTTTAACTGACATTTGAAGGTATAATGCAGGAATTAGAAGTAACCATGTATATAAACCTACACAAAGCAAGAATACATAATTCACAGCGACAAAAAGCAAACATTAAAATCAAATAAAAAATTAGTGCTTCCGATTTTCAAAGCATTAAATGCTGGAGAGTGAAATACTCGTGGAACTGGTGGAGGAAACAATGGTTGTTAACAAATGTTGGTGGACATGGTCACTATGTTGATACAAGTCTCTGTCTAAAACAAATAGAGAAAGAAAGGAAAAAAAATAAATGAATTTACTGATGAATAAGGTTAAAAAAAATGTATGGTTTTAAAAAGTGATGGGTATCTCTATTTGAGAAATAACGTGGAAGAAAAGGAAAAAAAAAAAAGAAATTTTAAAAGGAACATAAATCAAACGGAAAATTGACACCATGAAAGAATTTAATAATTGTCTTTGTTCTCTATTCTTTTTCTCTTTTTTTTTTCCTTGTTCTTATTAATGGTGTTGATCAATTTGTATGCACTTTGGCTAATTTATTAAAAAAATTTAACGTGCAAGTACAATTGCCAAGATAATCTTGTGCAACAACAAACGGGCTCCCATCAAATATTGTAACTGAATTCGAACTCGAGATTTTTGGATTACATCAATCATCAGGATATGGAAGATCACATTTTAAAATTACAATTGGAAAAAAAAGGTCTAGGTGATTTCTTTTCTTCACATTAATTAAACTTTGATGAATAAAATTATTGGATAATCAAAGTGCACACAACCTAATAAGGACACCATCTATTTAAAAAAAAAAAGGGGGG